GAGGTCATTCCCAGGAGAGAACGGCGTGAGCAGAGGCAAGAAGGAAGGACTGAATGTGGAATGTGCATATGGGGGGGCTCGTCTGTTTGAGGGAAGAGGGGGCAGGAAGGGAAACTGAGTCAGGGACCTGCTCATCACTGGCCTGGAGTGCTTGGCTAAGGGGCTTATCCGTTCATGAGCTGACGCTGGCAGCCTTGATGGATTTCCACCGTGGAGGGCCATGATTAGGGCTGTGCGCACACTGGACTGAGAGAGAGGGGAGAAGGGCAGAGTGGGGTGCGCTCGGGAGGTCGTCACCACGACTTGGGCTGAAGTTCCCAAGGCCGTAAGGCGCTGGGTGGGCCTGGAGGGGAGCGAGCAGCCGTGGGGGGAGCATGCACGCTTGCCCCAGCGCCGCCCCCTCTGTGGAGCCCCTTTGGTCGGGCCTCTGCTCCCCAATCCCACCAAGACCTCCCTTTTGGAGGTGCCCGGTGAGTCCCTCGTTGCCAGCAGCCCCGGACACGTGCCTCCTCGTCAAGACGCCTTCCCCGCCACTGAGACTGCGTGGGCCCTGCTTTCCCCCCGCCTCCCTGCCGCTCCTCCTCTCCTGACTGTCTCAGTCTGCAGTCCAGGAATCCCATCTTCTCAGACTCAGCTGGAAATTCCATCGACAAGCTGATGGCGCTGAAGTTGGTATCTCCAGCCTAGACATCTCCCCGAGCTTCTGCGTTCAACTTTGTGCTCGCCTTCCTCAGTTGGAAGGTCCAACCGCTGGCGCGATGTTAGCATGTTCCAGAAGGGCCTTGCCCTTGGATCCCAGCCCTTCTTCGGGCCTTTGTGTTTGCTGCTCCTTGTGTCCACGTGGTCCTCCCCAAGTGGCCACAAGACTCACTCTTACTTCCTTGAGATCTTTATCTTGAGCCACTGTGACGAATTTATTTTTTGGCCCCTCTTCGTGGCATGAAGCATCTTAGTTCTCTGACCAGGGATCGAAACTGTGCCCCCTGCAGTGAAGAGCAGAGTCCTAGCCCCTGGACCCCCAGGGAAGTCCGTTCTGTCCAGATTTCCATCCTCCCACGCCATCTCCTCCTTCCGTTTGCTTTCCTTGGTTCCACCAACGTTTAACAGCGCACAGTTTACTTATTTATACATTGATTGTCTCTCTGCCTCCACTGGAAGGTGTATTTATTGGAGGGAAGGATTTTTGTTTTGAATGGTTATATTTTCAGTTGCTACAAGTGTGTGGCACCTGGTGGCATGTTTATGGATGGATGAGTGAGTGGAAAGCTGAGCTCTTTCCCTCTTTGGACCTGGGAAGCAAGGCCTTGCAAAAGGTCACAGTTAAAGCCTCGGGGTGGATGCTTGGAAGACACCAGAGCAGAATGCTAAAGACACTTCAGAATTGAAGTCTGGAAGCAGTGGGAGCCTAACCTGGGTCTCTGTGAGTCTGAGTGACCTAGGGGATCCCACGAGGAGGCCCGGGGGTGTTGCAGGGAAGGGTTGAGGGCGATCTGGTCACTGCTCGTGTGGCGGTGATGACTTTAAGCCGCAGGGGAGGTGGGGAGGAGAGAGCGAGCGAGAGGACAGCAGGGGTGAGTTATTGGGAAACACCTGATGAGGAGCAGAGAGCAGCCAGGAGGGGAACGTGTCGTGGAAATCAGGATCGAGTTCCAGGGGCGCAGAAGTGGTTGCCACGGAACCGTGCAGGCTGAAGACTGGGATGGCGGTGTTGGGGGCGAGCCCCTGGAGGCCTGTCCTGCTGCCCAGGCGCCCTGCACAGGCCTGAGCACCACGCAGGGGCTGGCGGGAAAGCGGTGGATACAGTGACCGGCCCGGCGGTGTGATCAGAGCTGGGCTGGAGGCGGGCTGGCCGGAGTGTCGGGCAGCTGGGAAGGGGGGAGAGGGAAGTGGACACGTGCTTTGCTATGGCAGCCAGGCCAGTGGAGTGGTCTGGGAGCAAACTTTAAGGGCTGGTGGCTTCCACATTCAACTTGCAGAGCAGAAAGAATGACTGGCTCCAGGTCGCCTGGGTCCGTAAGTGTCCCGGACCTCCAGGACAGACGGCCATCGCTGGGGACACAGGATGAGCGGCAGCGCATTTCCCAAGGTCGCGGCGCTCCGGCCTCTGCAGCTAATATTTGCCGTTTATTGACCCAGTACCCAGCCTGTTACTTTTTAACCGGAGCCTGGGGTTCAAAGGCCTGACTTTTGTTTGACTACGCCTTGGGATGGGGAGGGCATGTCCCCTGATAACCTCAGCTGATGAACAAGCAAGGATCTTCTGAGTAAATACAGGCTGCACAGAGGCAAGACGGGGGTGGGCCAGAGCAGGGAGAGGCTGGGGGTCGGAGGGGAGAGGACCCCAGTGCCAGAGGCACTCTTCTAATTTGTAAGAGAGCCGAACAACTAGAATCCGAAAGACAAATCCCAAACTCTCCACCAAAATAGTATTAAAGGATTTTAGCCATTAGCTTATGTTTATCCAACAGAAACACTTTTTGAAAAATGTACATCCGGCACTCCATCAGATAGTTCCCGAGGGTAGAGAACCCAGCCCCCTGGTCTCCAGGTCTCTACGGCCCGTCACCTCTGTTGGACTAAGCTATGTTCGTGTTGCCGCTGGATCTGGAAAATGTAGGGCCCTTGCTTTTGAAGGTGGAGAGAGCTCTGGGGCAGAGAGGCAGTGTGGCCCTGGGGCCGTCCCTGGAGAAGGCTGTCTGCAGGTAGAGGGGTTCCTTGTGTGGGGCCTCCCAGGTGGCTTGGGGGTGAAGAACCCGCCTGCCAGTGCAGAAGATGCAGGAGACCCGGGTTTGATCCCTGGCTCAGGAAGATCCCCTGGAGAAGGCAATGGCAACCCACTCCAGTATCCTTGCCTGGAGAATCCCATGGGCAGAGGAGCCTGGCAGGCTACAGTCCATGGGGTTGCAAAGAGTCGGACACGACTTAGTGACTAAACCGCAACGTCTCCGTGTATGTTGGACACTGTGGTTTGAAGCAGAGCCTTTGCCCTCAAAAGCCCTCTTCCACTCAGCTTGCTGTGGGCTTCGCTGATAGCTCAGCTGGTAAAGAATCCGCCTGCAGTTCAGGAGACCCTGGTTCAATTCCTGGGTTGGGAAGATGCCCTGGAGAAGGGAAAGGCTACCCACTCCAGTGTTCTGGCCTGGAGAATTCCATGGGTCCAGGGGTTGCAAAGAGTTGGACACGACTGAATGACTTTCACACAGATGCCATCAGTCTTTACTCCTGTCGGTTTGTCTAAGCCTCACATTGGAGTTTGTAAAAACATCTCGAACGGGTCATGCATTTGGTGTGATCAGTCATGTGCGTCTTAGTGTGAATGAGTGTCTGGGCTCTTCCCTCGGAGAGGAGGTTTGGTGCAGGGGGTGGAGGATGGGCCAGAGTGAGTGGCTGATGGGAGGCTTTGAGCCAAACCACCCAGGGTTCAGATCTGTCCTCTGTAAGACTCTGGGCCTCCTGGTCCGATTCCTCGTGTGTAAGTTGGCAGTGACAATATCTACCTTATTAGACTGAGATTTATGGTAAGCAGTAGTACTGCTATCCCAAGAGAGGGAATCGGAGACTGTGGAAGCTTGGCAAACGGCAGGAAGGCCACTCTCCGAAGGGGAGGTTCATTCTGCAAAGAGGTGCTGCAGGCTGCTTGTCCCCGGCCCCGTTTCCCAGTCTCCTTTGTGGTTGGCTGTGGCCGTGCGGCTGGGCAGGGGGTTGAGGGCGGTCTGTCCCCCTGGTCCTCGTCCTCTTGCACAACCTTACACTGGCCGCCCCTCACCCTGCCTGGGGGCTGCGGAGGGTCCTGAGACGGGCGATGGCTGGAGGGGCGTCTGGGAGCAGCCCCGCACCTCCCAACCCTCGAGTTCACTGTGCGGATAGGAGCGCGTGCGCCGGGGTGGTGGCTATGCTTAGGCGCTCACTCGTGTCTGACTGTGTGACCCCTGGGGCCCCTGGGGTTCCCCAGGTACGGACACTGGGGTGCGTGGCCATGTCCTCCTCCAGGGGATCCTCCCAGATCAGGCATGGGACCTGTGTCTCCTGCTTTGGCAGGGGGGACTCCTCACCATCGAGCCGCCCGGGAAGCCCACAGTTGTGCAGCGGCCCCGATTCCCACAAGCAGCTTCTGCGCCCAGGGCTGCGGGGCCCCTACCCTCCTCGAGGGCTCCTCCTGCGTTCCGGGGAGGCTGCGGGGACACCGGGGTGGCGGAGGGCTCTGGCCCCTGCCAGCAAGAGACGGTTTCCTGAGGATGTTGACCACGGCCTCTTCCTGGCTGGGACGATACTGCTTGAGGTAGTCTGAAGCTTTTTACACCATCCTGGTGGCCCGGCTCGGAGGCGGGAGGCTGCATGGGGTGCCCCTGGTACCTGCCTGTGCTCTGGTCCTCTGCCCCCCGACGGACCCCCCTGCACTCTGCTCCACCGTGAGGGGTTTACAAGAGTGAGATCAGCTTGATGTGTTTGCAAGGTTCCCTTGACAACTCAGATTCCCCACCTGAAGTGGGATGCTGAGGGTCTGACCTTGACCCTGGGCCTGGCCTCACAGGGGGGGGGGCGGTAGCCTTGAGGCTGAGGGCGGCTGCCCATTTCCAGCTAGGCATCGGTGGCCCTCCTCTCTCCCCCGGGCCTGGTGGCGAGCGGCCCCTCTGTGTAGACCAGCTGCTGGAGGGCAGAGACGGCGTCAGAGAGGTCACACCAGCCCCCCCGGACCCACGGGGCAGCGCGAGAAGCTGATCGGCCCCTCCCTGGGGGTCTTCGGTTCCCACGGCCATCATCCTGGGTCTCTGCAGGGCTGCCCCCGAGGGCTAGTGAGGCCAACTGCACGGGGCACCCGGGGAGGAAGCAAGGGCAAGAACTGGGGACTCACGCGGCCAAGGTCCTTCTGGATCAAACATTTGGCAATCGTGTGATTAAAGGGTGGTGAGCTCCGGGCACGCAGCAGCGCGGAACGGTCTGCCTTTAGCTGGTCTTGCTCTTCCGTCTGAACAAGGCCACGCAGGGTTGAAAACTGGTAACTTCATTCTGGGAAGTGTATGTAAAACTCCCACAGTGAGGGACTGCTTAGAAGTTGCCAGAATGTATGATTTCCCTTTAATCACAGCGAGACCTAACTTTCCCTGGCTGCGGGTTTCCTTCCTGCACGACCCTCACCCCTTCCAACAGGCCGTCTGCAAGTGAACTTCTCCCGCAGAGAAGAGAAGGCTTTCCCCGAGCACTGGGGGAGGTGAGCGCAAGGGCTCGTGGAGGAACCGTGTGCCCTCCCCTCCTGCCATCAGGTCCCTGACTCCCTCTCTCCAAGGCCATGTCTGTTCCTGCAGCCAGCGAGGCCCCGAGGCTGCAGAGACGCAGGCGATGGTGCCCCAGGGACGTGTGGAGAGGCACCGAAGGGGTAAGTGGGCCGGACATCGGCCAAGGAGGGGACTCAGATAAGAGCAGGCAGCTCAGGCTTCAAGATAAAGTGCAGCAGGCGGACCCAGAGGGGGCAGGATCTGCTGCTTTGAGCACCAGGGCCGGGGTTGGGCTGGGACTTGAGGGAAGCCACTGACCTGCTCTCTGAAGCCCTGGGTGTCCAGGGGGTCCCATCTCCGAGGGGAGATGCCACTTCGCTCAGAGGCAGGGGGCAGCCTCTCCACTGCTTTCTGGTCAAGCTCACCCTGTGACTTGCTGCCAGGATGGACTTGGGCTTCGTTGGGACAGGGAAGGAGGCACAGCCCGGGGTTGCAGGAAGGGGACAGGCTGATTTCGGGCCACTTGACCTGCTCCCCAGGCTGGCCTGCGGTCAGTCCTACAAAGGGAACCATGGTTCTGCGCTTCCTCAGTCCCCACCAGCAGGTGTCCCCCAGGTGGGGCCGGGATCCTGTAGTCCCCTGACGGAGTCCGTCTGGGTCAATGAAAGCCTCCATCGTTTTGTTCTCCTGTCCAGTCCAAGTCCTATGAACACTCAGAGACCCCGCAGTCCGGTTTCTCTGGGAGTGCAGTGTTGAGAGGTGCCGTCTTCCAGGTGGGGGCGCACCAAGGGGATGGGAAGTGGAATCTGCGCTCGTACGTCCAGGGGCCCCTCTGGATATGGTACCCAGGACCAGCTACAGTGATGAGAATTCCCGGATGCCCAGGCTTACCATCAGCTTTTACCAGGAGGCTTTTGAGTTTCAGGAACGCCTAGGTCACCCTTGGACTTCAGAGCAGGGTATGCATTTACTAACCCAGCAACCGCGTAAGTGATGTATGATTTATTCCTCTATTTCATATAAACTCATCATGTGTGTTTCTCTCTGAGGATGGACACATACGAGTTCAGGGTGGCTCTGTCTGCTGACATCTCCCCTGTGCGTTCCTTTGAGGCTGGAGGAGGCTGCAGGAACTCGGAAGCCTACTGACATCTTTCCAGCAGGACACGGTCTACTGCTAACTGAGAGAGACAAGGAGCAGGAGACCAGGACGAAATCACGTCCTCCTTGGATGCTACCTCCTGGCAGTCTCTGAGGGCACAAGTTAAGGCCATCAAGAGGTAAGGAAAAGGAGCAAAATTGAGGAGTCTACCTGTTTTATCAGGGAATTGACATGAGGTCTGGATTTTCTTTCTGAGAACCATCTTAGGCTTCATTACTGAGTCTTATTAACAGACATAAATTGAGGGTTAGTTGGACGAAAACCAGAGATGAAATATGCCTTTCCAGTCATGGACTTTATATTACCACTTGGGTAATCCATCAAGTCGTTAATTCTTAAATAAAAGACAGATGGATAAGAATAGAGGTACATCCCATTAAGCTCAATCCATGTGTTCTGAGAAGTCTTTAATGATGTTTCTAAAGATGTGGAACTTCTAGGGAGATGAAGGAAATGAGCATGCTATCTACAAAGTTGCAGGCATTTGAATATCGCCCCCCAAACAATTAAGACAATGCATTCATGAAGAAGCTTTAAAACAGACAACCTATAATACTTGATGTAGAAAAAGTTCCAGCTTCCACAATCCTTTATTAAATATTTGACAAGTCGCATCACGTCTTTACAATGACTTCATTTTGTCACATTACTCTTTTGTTAAGTCAGGAAAACAATCCACAATTTCTCTTTAGGTCACTCAAGAAAAACGAAAAGCAAAAGGAATTTGTTCTTCAACAAAACGTTTTTTACCTGTATCAAATTCAACTGTATTTTAAAGCTATTCTGATTGTGAAAATGAGCAGTTAGCCAGACGATGTCTTTTAAAAAATTTCCAAGTTGTTTGGTTTTTAATCACTGTATCAAATAGTACTTGGCTTTGTATTAGGAGGTGAGGTTATAATAAAAAGTTACGAAACATTGAGAATTCATTTGGAATGCTTGAAACTTTTCACCTTAAAAGTCACTGTTTCTTTCATGTTTTGTTTGATAATAGACGCTGAATTAAGAGATAACAGCATATTCTATCATCATCTCCCTTGGGTTCTCCGAGGGTCAGAATTCTCAGGACACAGCTTGGAGGAAACTGTAGCAGGGACTAACCTCTCACTCCCTTTCAAAACCAGATTCCTCAAGGTAGGTGTAAATGCTATACAAATATATACAGAAATATTTGGACAGCAGATGTTCGTATATATATTACATACATAGTAGTGAAGGGGGAACAGTTATGCAAAGTTCACATGAAGGAAACTGTGACAATCCAGGTGAAATTAGTCTGAGGGAGAGGGGCAAAGTGGCTTCTTTAGGAACACAGATGTCTGTGGACTCAGGTCATGGTCAGGAGGCTTAGGATGCACTGATACAGGTTGAGAAGGTAGCATACAGAGGTCTGCCACCAGTGCCGTGAGGGTCCACTGTTACTCACACAAACACAAAACCGACCAAGGAAGAGACATGCGTCCTACACATGCATTGCTCTGCACGTAACACCTTTAACGCAGGGGAGAGGTCTAAACGAGAGGTTTTCTTGGACGATTCTGTACCAACAGAAAGCTCTCCTTTCCCATGAAACGTACAAGCTCACATCCTAACGCTACAGCTTTGTCTCTGAGACACTGAAAACGCTCTGGGGACGGGGGGCGGGGGTGTGTGAATGCAAATGTAGATACACAGTTCGTTAAGGCTTTGATAAATTAAAAAAAAAAGTGGTCCAAAGTATATCACATTTTTCTCCCCAGTTTTAAAATCTAAAGTACAAAGTGGAGTTTATGAAGCATTATTTTAAAAAACACATCTTGGACCTAAAATCGGCAGTTGTGACCTACCGGGATGCACCCCGAAGTCAGAGGTAGAGCGGGACCTCCCGGGGGCGGGGCGGGGCGGGGGCAGGGCAGGCGGGCCCTGCGCGGCTTCGCCCCCTAACCCTAACCCTGCTGGCAGGGCAGGGGTCGACACCGCTGTCCGCCGGGCTGGGCGGGGCTGGGTGAGGAGGCCAGAGGGGCCTGGCGCACGGCGGGGCGGGGGCCTGAGGACTGGTTAACCCAGGCGCGCTCTCTGTGGGTCCTGACATTTCAGAGGCAAGGCCCAAGACTTAGAAAAACAGCGGAGTCACGTGAGAAACAGTTAGAACTGTGAGGACAATTAGCTTGCCGCGCTAGCTCGGTTTTCAGGGGAGCCAGTTTGGACCTGGCGATGTCACACGGCAGCGGTCCATGCTGTCGAACAGTGTGAGATGCAGAAAGCAGTTCAAATATTCTGCAAACCATTCTCAGAATCTGTGCCTGCATCCTTATGTGGGAGGAACAAACCATGTCAGGTTGCTTGAAGCATTTGTCATCTGGCCTTAGGGAGTATCTGGTGGGAGCTACCAAAGCGCCTTGGTAAGTAAATGGATGTGTTTCAGGAGAAAGGAAAAGAGCGCTGAGACCCACGCCTCGCCGTTTCCTGTCGCAGAGGTGGCAGGTGCCAGAGCAGACCCTGCCTGGAGCCAATCTCTCCTGGGCAGGACTCCCCAAATTCACCGTTAGGCCGACAAGAGGGGAGACTAGAAACAAGCAGGACTTTTACAGGTGACTGGGTTAGCTCATGTTTAAAAACCTTTCAACCACATGCAATATGCAAATTCTGGAACTGGCTTCTTAACCTCATGGCTAAATGGCTCGTAAGGGCTCTTTTCCAGGGGCCTAGAGAAGCTGGATTCCGGTCATTTCTAAAAAGGCATCACTGTTGAGAGAGATCCAGGGGCGGCGACAGCGTCTTCCACCCCCAGGGGTGCTGAGCGGGCTGGGCAGAGGCCCTCTGCTCTTCCTTACTGCCTCCTGAGAGTTCAGTGCGACAGGGGTGGACAGCAGTCGTCAGGATCGAGAGAACAAGGTGCATGGCTGTTTAGACGCAGAGTGAAACCCTGAGGGTTGCTGCGAACTGGGGAAGCTTATTTGGATTCAAGGAAGCCAAAACCCCCAAACAAACTCTAAACCCAGCACTTCCGAGCCATCACTGAAATGAGATAATAAGGGAGAGATGAACTGAACTGTCATTCACAATTACCGCCTTCCAAGTATTCACGGGGGTCTATTTCAATAATTCTTATCTGTTCTTGGCACAGAAATGATCTTAGAATGGGGTTTCTTTCGTATTTTCAGTACTTTGCCTAATTTGCATTCAGTGAACATTCTGATTTAAGAACTTATGAAATGACAGAAGAACTCCAGTTCTTCGACAAGGATTGTTGGATTTCTTCCCTATAACTGCACACTTATGAAACCCATCCCAGCACACTGCTCTCCCAGGCTCTGACATGAATCACAAAAAGCAAGCCAAGGGGCTAAGAGGAGGAGACACTTGTTATATCAACTGAAGGGATGAAATCCCACCAAGAGGTAAAAATAATGAGCAACATTGTTTTTCTAATTACTCAACATCTAGGTTTTCTGATCACTACTGGATTTTTAAAAATCACTGTGAAGGGGAACAACCCTCAATTCTGGAGAACTCCACCTTCTTTTAGATGCCACGGGCTCCGCAGCCTCTTTAAACAAACCAACCATAAACATTTCGTGGCTTCCCACAAGCCACCCGGAAGATCCTAAACGGAGGCCCTGAAACCACAATTTTTTGGGTCTCATCTATGACTGGCAAGCGATATATCCAGTTTCCCTGGACGGCCACTGCAGGGTTTAGGACAACACAGGTTAAGGAGGACAGAAGGGTTTGCTAGACCCCCCTCGCCCTGCCTCAGGCGTCCTTTCAAAACACAGTTCTGCAACAAGGACTCACAAGTGGTCAAGAACCTGAATCCCGCAGAAGCCTCCACCCCCAGCAGGGTCAGCTGGAAGGCCAGATGTCAGGGCGTCAAATCAAGTCTTCTCCGCCCTTTTAATCTAGCACGTGATGGACACAGCTTGGGCAGAACATGGTATGGAAGCATGCAACAGGTCATTGGGAACGAAACCCGGTTAGATTAAGTGTCTAGTAATCTTTGCAGTGGAGTAGAAATCACAAAATGCTTGGTCAGGACAGGTCTCTAGGCTCAGCTTTACAGCCAGGGTTTAGACACCAGCAGCCAGATTCACAATCAATAGATATTGCACTGGAAGGGTGTGTGCAGAGAGAAGAAATCACATTCAATGCTTATGATTAAAGAAAAAAAAAGAAAACCAGATATGACCTCCACATAGTACATAAAGTGCCTTCAGAATTGGTGCAGTTAGAACAAAAAGTTGTGTATTCAGCTACCGTTAGCAAACGCATACAAACAGGAGACTGTACAGGTCTGCTTTCCACAGTTTCGAATCACTCGGTGCCAAGTTTCACTCAAGTGTCTCTACTACAACAGCAAGGAGGAAAATACAATAGGAGGACTGTACAGCATTGGGAAGGGTTAAGTAGCTTCTCTTACGAGAAGTGATAGTCCAACCCTGCCTCAAATGTGCTCCAGCACACGTGATCACTTCTAAGGAATAATGGTGTGATTCCTTCAAGTCGACACAAATTTTGTCATGCTATGTTACAATTCTCTCAGTCTGCAGCTATTACACTGAATTTGAACAAAAAAAACGTAATATCCAGTTCTCATTCTGAGCATGGAAAAAACTGTCATGATGTCTAATGTTAGAGTATTTGTCTGCAGAAGGTTTTTGGACAGAAGTCAGTCTTCCATAGCTAATCCAGTAGGGGGTGGGGCTTTCTAAGTACTTTAAAAATAAAAACGTCACCAACATTAAACCTGGTATGAAGTTCAAATACAAAAAAAAAAAAAAGTGCTCACTTTTCCAAGTACATGAGACATCTTTAATTGTAGTGAAATAAAATCTGCAAATCGGTCTAAATCATTTTAAAAAGTAAACATGAGTTGTAATACTATACCTGTAGAGTGATTAATTCCATTCGCTGTCATTATAAAGTATGGAAAATATTTATTAAGGGCTTGGCCTACAGAGGCACAACATAAATAGAATAAGTCCTCCTGAAATGTAATCAGTATACACATCAGCCAGTTGGAAATTGGTGGTGGGAAATGCAGGAATGCGACCCGGGACGGGGTCTCCCTGTCGGCCGCGGGCAAGTCGGGGGCAGGGGCTCCGCTCCAGGACCCCTGGCCGCGTTGCTCTCTGCCAGCGTCTCTGCAGAGTCTGTCAGGCAAATGCAAAAGTGCAAGCAGAACTTGCTCGAAGAACAACCGCCCCGAGGCAGGGGGCGCTTAATCTACCCCCTCGAATCCTTGGGCATTTTCCACAGCCATGAGAAGCTTCTCTCGTAAATCTTCAAAGGTCTCATACGGAGGTAAGTCAAGGCGATTAAAGCTGCAAAAGGAACAAAGCAGAGGTAAGGAGCCAGCATCCCTATGGGAGTCACACCTGCGTCTCCTCGCTTCGGCCTCAGAGGGCACTTGGCGTTTGGGCAAGAGGACTGTGAAAGCCTCAGCGCAAAAAATATAATCCAGTGACGACCCTGCCCACACCTGCAGGGGATGAAAAAAGAATTTTCCAATCGTCTGTGAAACCTCTCTACTACAGTCAGACGTGGATCCTAGAAACCCATGCTGGGAAGGGACACAGGACAGGCAAGGTAACTGACGCACACGCCGAGGCTTCAAAACTGGGAAAACTGTCAAAACTTTCCGCAGCAGGATGAATGGAGCTGTCTGACACTATTTTAGGAAGTCCGCACTTCTGCACGCAGCGCCTCTTGTTTTCCGCACAGCCCCTCTGAGCAGGTGTCTCCTTGTTTTGCAGATGCGGGTCCTGCAGCCGGGCGGCAGGTCACCGTGCCCTAGCCTCAGCCCTGACAGCACCGCAGAGCTGAGACCAGAACCCAGGCTCCCGTGGCTCTGGGAGCCCGATGCGGAGCGACGCTCTACCCAGAATCAGGGAAGTCACTGGCGTGCGGCGTGAAGAGCTGCATTTACCGAAAGCCCCTACATAGCTGGAGGCCTTGGCTGGGGTGGCACAAGTCACCCTGGTGACACTGAGACCTCCAGATACACGTGGCCTCTGTGAGCAACAACTATACGTGTTCCCAGGATTGAGTTCAAATCCTGCCTCTGCCACCTGCCAGCCATGTGACCTCAGGTGAGTCACTTCCCTCTCTGTTGGCCCTTCCGTGAAATGGGGAGGCCGCTGCAGGGTCAGGTGCTGGGAGCATCAGATCACACATATAAAGGGGTCTGGTACACAGCACGCACCCACAGGCAGCCCCCACTGTCACCACTCACCCACCGGGCACTGCCCCCCCACCCCCCCTGCCCCAGGCACAAGGGAGCCCCAGACACCAGGGAGGTGGGCTGCCGGCCTTGTCGTGACGATGGCCACACATGCTTGTGGCTTGTTTGCACGTGTGTGTGCATGTGCACACATGTGCACACCTTAGCTCATGCTTTCATAAGCTAACATTTGTGGAGCATTTGCCCTGCGCCAGCGCTGTTAGTGGTGAGCGAGTGAAAGTCGCTCAGTCGTGTCCGACTCTGCGACCCCATGGACTATACAGTCCATGGAATTCTCCAGGCCAGAATCCTGGAGTGGGTAGCCTTTCCCTTCTCCAGGGCATCCTCCCCATCCAGGAACTGAACCGGGGTCTTCCACATTGCAGGTGGATTCTTTACCAGCTGAGCCACAAGGGAAGCCCACGAACACTGGAGTGGGCAGCCTACCCCTCCTCCAGCGGATCTTCCCCGCCCAGGGACTGAACCGGGGTCTCCTGCGTTGCAGGCAGCTTCTTAACCAGCTGAGCCACCCGGGTGCTACTCCTCGATCACCTCAGCGAGTCCCAGCACCCGCCTGCAAGGTAGGTAATGCCGCATCCCTGCTTATAGAGGAATGCAAGGCACACAGAGGTTAGGGAACTTGCCCCAAATCACTCAGCAAGTGGCAGAGTCCGGATTCAGCCCCAGGTTGGCTCCAAGGCCTGGATGCGGTCAGGCTGCCTCAGTGTCTAGAACTGCTGCTCCGGGCTCTGGCATAGGTTTCCGAGGACGAGCAGAGCGCTGTCCTGCGTTTTAAAGCCTATGACTGTCGGCAGCAGTGAGACCTGGACGCGTGAGCAGGGCGGGCCCTTTAACAACTGCTGAGTGTCTGACGAGACGCACTGAGCCCTGAGGTTTTCTGACATCAAAGCACACGGCCGGGAAGGGCTGTGCTCCTCAAAGCAGGTCTCAGAGACTCGGATCCGGAAAGATTAAGAGGAAAAGAAGTTTTCAGTGTTTGGTTTTCACGTGATAACGACCTCAAAATGTCACTTCACCAGCGACAAAGACAGACCCCACTCTGCAGCTACACTTAGAAGACCTTTTCCCGGGAGGCAGCTGTTGTCTTGATTTTAAGCTGGTATTTCACAGTCCAGGGCCTGCAATCCTGTGGGGCTTCAAGAATCTGTTGCCATTTTAAAGAAGGCCCATACATTATTCAAGCTTGAGAAATACTGGAATGATGAGGGGGCGAGAGAGAAGCAAGTCGGGGCGTGTGAAGAGCTGAGGCTTGGGATGTTGTCAGCTCTCGAGGTGTCAGTTCCTCCACTGCTAAGAAGAGGGGAGGCATCGGACCCGCCTCTCAGAACCGCTGTGACAGTGACACAGGTTCACACACACAGCGCTCGTCAGGGCGATGCCCGGAGCACAGGAAGTGCTCAGTGAGCGTTACCATTACGTCTGATGTCAGGAGACACAGGTCTGGCTCTGGCCTGCCACCAACCAACTGCGTGACCTCCTTACCCTCAGGGGCCTCAGCCTTGTCGTGCGGAAGATGTGTGGGCTGAAGGAGATTATTTTTAGGTGGGTCTGTGCTGCTTTGTAAAGAGGAATTTTAAATATATGAGCAGTGACCTTTGATAGAACAAAGGAATGAAGCCACTTCATGTTAGATACTCCACAATTATATGTGAAAGAACCACTCCGCTAAGCCCTCCCTCTCCTAGGAAATCAGGTTTTAATCTTGAAGCTTCATTGTGTATTTTATATTTTCATCAAACATGGAAGAGATTAAACACACATATGGCTAGATTTTATTTAGCCACAACTATACTCAAGGAGATCCAACCAGTCCATCCTAAAGGAGATCAGTCCTGGGTGTTCATTGGAAGGACTGATGCTGAGGCTGAAACTCCAGTACTTTGGCCACCTCATGCGAAGAGTTGACTCATTGGAAAAGACCTTGATGCTGGGAGNTGGAAAAGACCCTGTTGCTGGGAGGGATTGGGGGGAGGAGGAGAAGGGGACAACAAAGGATGAGATGGCTGGATGGCATCACCAACCCGATGGACATGGGTTTGAGTAAACTTCAGGAGTTGGTGATAGACAGGGAGGCCTGGCGTGCTGCAGATCATGGGGTTGCAAAGAATCGGACACAACTGAGCGACTGAACTGAACTGATGGTCATCGCGGTGAAGTTTGTTCACAGTGAACCAAGAATGAAGCATGGTCGTTGTGTTTCTCTGTTTCAGCAGAAGCCGGGGCTGGCTGGGAGGAGAGCCACAGCAGAGAATAAAGAGGACGTCCCATGCGGCCAGCCATGGGGCTTCAGCAGAGCTAGTGCTCTCCTCGGGGCCTGGGAAAAGGCCCCGGACGCTCTCCTCCTGGGACACTCGACGAGCAGCAGGGCTTCACTGCAAGCTGGCGGGGCTGCCTTCCTCCTGGGGGTCGGCCTCTGTCCTTCCTGAAGACGAGCAGCAATTCTAAACCCCGGCTGTCCTTGCCAACCACCGGGTGGCTCTGCAATCCCACAGCCCCAGTCATAACAGACCAACTGGGTCAAAACCTCCGCAAGTGGGACCCTGGGGCCAGTGTTTGTATTTAATGCTTTCTAGGGGGTTCCAACGTCTAGCCAAGGTCAAGAGACACCCGAGTCAGGGCCTTGTCTGGGTGGCCCTGGATTTTAGTGGTGGCTCAGCACACTGACTCAGATAGAAGAAGCGTTCAACGGCAAGGTATCTGTCTGTGGGTCAACAGTAGGATGTGAGATGAGTGCTCAATTACTTGGTTTCTCCTTGAAGAGTCTGGAAAGAAAAGGAACCATATTCCCGTGGCGGCAGCTTAACTATAGCGGTCAGCATGGAGATTCTAATTCAGGCAGACCTGACTTCAAGTCCTGAGATTTGGGAGCCTGTGAACTCTGAGACCGTGAGCAAGCTTGCCAAGAACCCACAGGGACACTGCCGTCAAGGTGCAGGGCCTGCCCCACACGAGATGGCCGGGAGCTCGCGCCCCATCCCGACGGTCCTGGGGCTCAGCTCAGCGCTGGCAGCATTCCAGATGAAGACTACTGAGCCCAGAAAACTACACTGGATTCTGAGACTGTTTGGAATGAAAGCTCCAAATGGCCAAAACATTCTCCCCTGAGAATAAAGGCAGACGGTCAGGGACACCGACTGCTCCGGCGATCGGCCAGCTGTAGCAAGAGTCAGCCTGCTCTCCTGGCGCTGACAGGCAGGGACCACATCCATCCCATTTGGAGTTCTCGGAATGGTACAAACAGTGGGGAGAACATGCTTTCCGGCAAGGCAACGGAATCAAAGAGAAGCAAAACACCTTCCACAGCCCATTTCCCACGCATGCACCTTAAATGAGACCTTCCTCCGAGCCGCGCCAGGCAGCGCGGGGCAGCCCAGCGAAATGAGACCTTCCTCCGAGCCGCACCAGGCAGCGCGGGCAGCCCAGCGACTCTGGCCGCCCAGGCTTCTCGTGGGGAAGGAGGCTGGGGGCTGACCATCCACAGGACCCCCTCCACCTGCTTCCTGTGAGTAAGAAACCAAAGCCTCGGAAGGGGAAACCAACCCGGGGGACCCGGGAGCTGGACTGAAGGCTCCTGAGATCCTCTCTGTGGGTTTCAGCAAAGTCCTCGGGGGTCCCGGAAACCCTCCTCCTCCCACCCCTTTCCCTGGAGGGCTTCTGAGTGCCACTGCGCTGAGCCTCCCTGGGGCAGGGGTCCTTGGTCGGACCTGTGACCCCCCTCTGTCACAATCACATTACTAAATCCCAGAGACTCATGGGTTCTGGATGGCCATGGAAAATCTTTTTAAAGACCCTGTTTCTCCAAGGAATCTCATTCCTGGTTCTAAACCAATTTAAGGCTGGAATAAGAACTCAGTCTGCTCAGAGGCTGGCTGCTGTCACAGCCATGTAGGGAGATGATACAGTAAAATCTCTGCTTCCCAGAATATTTAAGGAAAGGGGGGGACTGGAGGAGGAACACCCCATGGGAAGCAGGAAGGAGGGATTTAACCCTTCATTATCAAACATACAGGCCCTTTCAACTCATGGTTCAACTTCATCAGCACCAGCGATGATTATACCTTTGCCTGCTTCACTGACATTTCCCACTCTAAAGCATGCTTGCCTCTCGCCCAGTGTTATCCACAACTAAGCTTTGAAAAAACAAGTCTGTCTGTTGACAGCTGTGTGGTTTTCTGTCACTCACCACGTGTGAGCTCTGGGCAGTTTTTCAGGACTTCCCCATTGCTCTATTGTAAACAGCTGAGGACCATTGGAACCTAGAGAAAAGAAAAAGAAAATGCAACGCTGAGTGCTCAAGGCAGCAGAGCAAGACGAAGGAGGGGTGGGCAAGGCGTGCCTGGGTGAGCCCGGGGACCCCCCTGCACCTCTGACATCACAGTGTATAAAACAGAGGCAGCCGCGGTTCTGCACCACCCCAGACCTCAGACCCAGACTCGCGTCACCATCGGGACGGAACCGCGCCACGCTGAACAGAGCAGACACAACATGGGACGGGTGGAAGCTGCAGCCTTTCAGCCCAGCCCTGCAAGCTTAAACCTAAAACTACTTCTGGGTGGGTGGGGCGGAAACCTGAAATATCCTGAGTTTTAATATGCAGAGCAGAAAGTGATTTTTTTAATCTACAGGAAGTGCTAAAAGAATTCTGCCTTGTGGAGGGGTGCAGTACTTTTTAATGTTCAGCTTACAACCACATGGATGATTCTGCACAATCTAGTTGTTTTGGAAGATATACCAGAAAACAGAAAAGAGAGAGAAGACCAAACTTATGGTTCTCTGTAACAAAAACAGAAAGTAAAAACAGTCCCCTGCATTTATACAGAGGTAACTACACAAACAGGAGGAGGAGGGGGCCACAGAGGCTGAGATGGTTGGATGGCATCACCGACTCAATGGACACGAGTCTGAGTAAACTCCAGGAGTCGGTGATGGACGGGGGGCCTGGCGTGCTGCCGTCCACGGGGTCGCAGAGTCTGACACGACTGAGCGACTTAAGAGCAGCTGAGGGGGCAGCATGCGGCCGCACCCTCCACTTGGCGGGTCTCCCGTGTGCAGACAAAACCCGCGCGGCAGTCTTCTGGAGCCACAGCGCATGCCTGGTACACAGCACGGGGCGAGGGGAGGACAAGACCCCCTGGTATCCTGCTCACCATAAAGCTCGGCAAATCCGTTCATAGGTACTCGGGATGTCCCTGTGACAAACTGCAGTAACCGGATGCGCTTCTCGGCGTCCATCAGCAGCACAGCCTGCAGACGGAGACAGAGGTCACCATGCGCCACTGGACACGCAACGCAGACCGGCAAACCGTCATCCCGCGTGCACTGCGGTGGAAGTCCTAGACGGTCTTACACCCGGACAGGGTAAGGCCGGTGTGCATGTTTTTAATGGCCACGACACTGGCCTCTGTAATCTCAGAGACCGAGGGATCACAATGTCACTTTCTTCATGTGCCCATTGGTCAAAAATAAGTGGTTTTTTTTAAAAAAAGGCAAACTCATTGATGGCACTGAGTTCCTGTTTCTGTTTGTGAGACTTGCCGGTCCGCTCGAGCCAGTCGGAAACACACACGATCCTGGGGTTGACGCTTTTCAAACTGTGTGTTTCCAATTGGCTCCAGAGGGGAACCCAGCTTATGAGGCAGGATTTCTGACTATAGAGAAATTCTCTAAAGATAACATTTTAGAAAAAGAAAAACGGAAGCCAGGCTAGGCCTCTGAAATTACCGGTGTATCTTACTTATCTGAATTATTCTAAGAATCTAGTTGGCTTTACTGGTAAAGTCACTTGAACTGATATTAAAAAAAAAAAAAAAAATCCAAAATCAAAGCTGAGTGAGACCTGGACTAAGATTTTAGGATTTGATGATTCTGCTTTCTTCCTTTTCTCTATACTTCTCTGCTGCACTTGAAATTTTATTAGTAACAAATATTTAGAAATTAAGACAATTCAAACAGATTTCTTATTTCTATAAGTAAATAACCAGTGCTCTTCCCCCATGGAATTGTTCTTTCAAAGTCAGTTTATACTCTCTCCTTCAGACCTGCTATCTCACTTCTCTCCTAAAATGAACAGGATACAAACACTGGCCTTTAGAGAGTGAATCAGATTTCATTTGCATCTCTGATTGAAAGATGTAAAGATCAAAATGGTTGTTGTAATTCACAAAAAAAATTGAGAAAATGGTTTTTTAAACCAAAATGGCATCTTGGAAAAGCCAGCCCCAAAGCGTGTATTTGTCCTGAGAAGCCTTTCATTCTTATTCACACTCTGGAGGACTCGTTCAAATTCTTGAATCCAGCTATCTGCTTTTTAGGGTCATCCTACTCAACGGTTTCCTTAAACAAAAGCACTTGAGTAAGTGACCGAGGAAGACAGTGTGGCTTACTCAGGACAAGTGAGGGCAGGCGCCCACCACGGTCACAGAGAAGCAGCGGGAAGGGCTCCGTCGGGCTCAGCAGGCCTCTCCCCTCCCCAGCAGGCCACGGACCAGAAGGGCCCCAAACCCAGCAGCGGACCTTGGAAGGCAGTACAGGCCCTGGGCCCCAGACCTACCTTCCAGAACCACTGGATCACGGGGTGGTTCGGGCAGTAGCCGTTCTTGTAAATAGAATGTTGTCGCCAGTCGTTCACATCCACATCACCAAGGCCGCACATCAGCAACTGGAGGAGACAGACCAGAGGTGAACAGGGTGTATCGTGAAAGCCCAAGAAATGCACACGGAGAAAAGGCCTCCTCTCAACTGCAGCATCGTGTTACGTGCAAAGCCAGATGAACCAGTGAACTGGAAAGACGGATGAAGGGGAACACGTGTGCCACACCCTGCCTGCCGCCTCGGGTCAGAGACAAGAGAGGTAACGAGGGGACCCGATTCCAGTGCCTGGACGGACCACTGCGTCTCATACTGGAAATGAAAAGTCCAAACTGAGTGCCCTCCTGGCCCCTCTGATCTCAGTGCTCACGGATTTCCTTTGGCTCTGTTTACATCTGCCCGTGACGCTGGCTGTCTGCTCTTCTGAGAAGTAATCTGTCTCAATATTTCAAAATACCTCTCCGCCCACAGCAAAATTTGTGCTTTATGACAGCAAGAACATGTCTTTCCCAAGCGGATCCACCAGCTCAGGGCATCACCTCACCTCCCGGTGAGCAGACTGGTCCTACATCTTTCTAGGATGTCATCTACCTGGACGTTTCCACTTGAAGGTCGAAGAACAGAAAGCCAGTCTCCAGGAGCCACTTCACTGGACAAGCGGCCGGAGCTGTGTCAGCAGCCTCTGCACAGATACAGCCCGCCTCGTCTTGCTTCCCTCGACACAAGGGTGAAGCGGCCTCCCTGCTCTGCAGACGCCACGCTCCCGTCCACATCGACACCGAGAAGCTGGCACAGGCCGGTTCGGAGCCACCTCCTGCTCCCGCCTCTGCTGTGCTTCCTCACTCAACGCGACCCCTTCACCTTCACGGCGACCGCTGCTCTAGGAGCCCCCCCAGACGCTCCCGCTCAGCTCTCACGGTGGGGGTGCAGAAAACCCGGGGAGCAGGGTGGTGCCCCCCTCACCTGGCTGCTGCCGCCCCAGCTCTACCGGACGCTGCAGCTTCCCCGCCAAGCCAGGCCCGGCGGTGAGCTGGCTCAGCGCGCAGGCCTCTGTCTGCCGCGCCCCGGACCTGCCCTCTCCCAGGGAGGCGCGCACAGCTGACGGCCTCTGCTGTTCCTGCTCCCGGGCCGGCACACAAGCCCCCGAGACACCTGTGCTAGAACTGACCTGAGCTTACTCACTAGGACATTGTGGATGAGAAAATATTACAATATCAGCCGTGAAGCAACGTAAATAAAATCTCCTTTATGTAAAATGTTTACAAACCTCCAGCTCATTTTCATCAAAGATTTTAATCAAATCAATAGGGAGCAGTTCTGTGAATCCCTGAAAGAAAAAAAAAAAATCACTCTCAATACCTTTTTCTCTGAAAGAGACACATTTTCAGGGCCAACCAGCTTTGTGTGGTTAGCTAGGAAAAAATACATTGTTCCCTGATAATTTATAGCTATCAGTGACAATATTCAGTAATTTTAGTTCCTATAAAAACAGCATAATCACAGTATAAAAGATTTAAAGAGTGGCAGACTCCAGAAGATTCAGGTACTTGAGTAATTCCTGAAACCCTGAAAATATGAGTTGCTGCAAGTAGGCGGCGGATTCCAAAAGCCACTTATGACACACCGCCGGAGTGAGGGTGCCCTCAGACACACAGGCGTGCAAGCAGACCATTCACAAACAAGGTGCCGAAGGCAGAGACGAGACACCAGAGGTGGCCTGTGATCAGCAGAGGGGAGACAGCACAGAGAAACAGCCTGCTCCCAGCCTAGCTGGTTAGTTATCGCCAACTGGTGGCTCAGACGGAAACAATCCACCTGCAGTGCAGGAGATGTGGGTTCGATCCCTGGGTCAGGAAGACACCCTGGAGAAGGGAATGGCTACCCACACCAGTACTGTTGCCTGGAGAATCCCACGGACAGAGGAGCCTGGTGGGCCACCGTCCATGGGGTGCTGCAGAGTCAGACACGATTCAGTGACTTGCACTTTCACTAACCGCTGCACTGACCCAGGGTGGATGTCCGCGTCGCTGGCCCTTCGTGTAGTCACTTTCTGCAAGTGAGATCACCTGGAGTGAGGCCACCTGGGTTTCGTGTGTAAATAAGGTGTGAAACTTGCTGGTCTCAAGTGTGTCCAATTCACACATTACACCCAAAGTCCCGGAATTTTTCCCAGTGTCCTGCCTGGGCTGGGGCTTTATTCACCATGAGCAGGTAACTGGGTGAGGGGTGAGCTTAAGAGCATCACCCAACAAGAACCCGGCATCGGTTCAATGAGAACGGAAGCCTGGAGTGGACACCTGGGGTTCATTCTCTTTAAGTAACTAGAGCCAGTTATTAGGACTTAAAAAGAAACTGCACTTTGGGGCACAGTAAGCAATTTTATAAAAAATGATGAGCCGTTATTCTGTGACAGGCCTCTCTCCTCAGGGGCCTGGTGGCATCATTGACGTTAACTACCCGGGTCTGAGAAGTAACTGCTTCACGCTTTAATAGGGTGAGGAGCTGTTCAGCCAGCCACGAAGAAAGGGCAGGGGATTAAAAAAAAATGTTCGGCAGATGAAGGGGAAGGCACGGCTACTGGGGAGGGATGGTATGAATGGAAACTGCCCAGGTCCTCACATTTCTCAGCACCTGCGGTCACCACAGCAAAACTCCGAGATGCTCCCAGCCTTCCCTGGGTACCACTGAAAACTGCAGGGTGATGGGTCTAGCCCTGGGGGGGAGCCGGCCCTTCTGGATCAAGTCTGTAAAGATTTCCCTTTAAAAACAGTCACGGTGAATTAACAACTAAGCAGCAAAGCCAGAAAACCCTGAACCAACGCCAACAAACGGAGGGCGGCAGGGCCGCACGGACACTCCTGTTCTGGGGCTGCGGGCAGTGGGAGGGGGTCCCCACACCTGCACCCATGTGGGGGACGTGTGATGGTCTCCCGCCTCGTGCCTACCCCCAGGAGGGGCGTGGTCCTCTCCCAACCTCAGGGCGCAGGCCCGGCTCCCAGTGAGCCTGACTCACCTCCAGGAAGGCGTTCATCTGCTTCTGGACCCTGTTCACGAACCTCCACTGGATGACTAGGCTGCGGGAAGAAACAGACAGCAGTTAACCACCTCCTGCTTTCACTCCTTCCTTCACCACTGCAGCAGCTTCTCGGGCAGGGGAGGAGCCGGGTCCAAAGCGGGCCAAGGAGAGAGGGGCCGCTGGGGCTGAGTCCTGGATGCTTTCGAGAACAGGGGCACACGTGGAGCCTCGAATCTCATTGGGGATTTAAAAAAAAAGACACTGGTTTCCTCCCCATCCCCGCCACCAAGCCTCACTTTACCAAAGCTGCTGTATAAATGTGACTGTCCAGAAAAAAGGGAAAATGGGCCTTCAATACAAACCTACCTGGGCATAATGAACGTGTGCACACAAACCCAAAGATGTACATACCCACGCTTACATACAACCATGTACATATTTTTAAGGGGAATACCCAGCACGACATATGTGATCATATGATATTTTGTTCTAGAATCCAATGTGCTGGTTTTCAACAAAGACATACAATTTATCAGCATTTTACCACTAACATTATTACTTTAATACCAATATTTGGAGGACTAGTGGTAATAAACTTCTGTGAGTCACAGAAATCCACTGAAACCATGCTCCTTGTGAAAACGTTCAGTGTATAGCAGCATTTACTACCAAGCGAATCCGCTTTGGAGTCCACCTAAGGTGTTCTGTCGTGAAACAGCACAGGGACCTTGTCACCAAGGGCTCTCACTTATGAGGGGGCGCCATGGCAACGGCACCCAGGGACCAGCCTGCCACCCGCCCACTGCTCAGCATTTTGGGGCTCCCTGGCTGTGCTGCAATCACCAGCCCAAAAGCCTCCTACTGCGCCGGGGGATGCAGGGGGCAGGGAGAAGCTGGGAGTTCAATCCGACTTCTGGCGGTGAAGCCAGTGGAGACGCTGCCTGAGGCCCTGCCCCTAACCCCCAACCTGAAACCTCAAAGAAGTAACTGCAAAGAAAGATGCAGTGCATGTATCATAAGGTCCAAACCCTCTGACTTCTGACCCTAGTTGCCCTGGGGTGGAGGGCTGTTAAAAGTCGATTCCAAGTCTGTGCTTTCTGAATGAAGACAATGGTGTCTGCTAGGACGCCATCTACTTGCTGAGACTGTCCAAGTTCAGCACAAGTGCCAATTAATGCAAACAGGCAAGAACTGTCGTATCTTACTCCTAGTCTTTGACTAAGAGTAGCAAGTTTTCGAACGTGCGAGTGGAGAAGTCTGTCCTTCGTCAGGGTCTATAGGGACTCAACACTCTCCAACTCCTCCTAATTAGAAAAGACAATAGGCTTTTCTTTGCAGATGCTAGGGAAGGATGCTGAGATCCTCGGCCAGTTCTCTCAGGCCCTGTGACCCATTATAATGAGAGAGGAGGCAACCTGGCTTGTTGAGGTGATGTTCTGAATGCAAACAGGGAGTTCAGGCCGTGGCTGTAACTCACTAGATGACCAGAAACTAAGACCCTGGGAGCCAACCACCGTTATGCTGACCTTGCCCCTGTGCCCAAGGTTAGCGAGGCAGCCTGGTGATCCTTGGAGGATACCAGAACTGTGTGTGTGAAGCATATGTATACACCAGAGAGGAAAACGTAAGCTGCCCCACAGAGAAAGAACTTCTGCCCAGTACTGATGTCCTAGACTTCCAAAGGACTCAACAGTTTGTTCCACCAATGGAGGCTGAAGAGGTTGAGTAAAGAAAATCGCACACATCAGGAACGATGTTTCAGCATCTGCTCAATTCTCCCTATCCATTTTAAATTCCTTTCCTACACTTTCATTATGGAAAAGAAGTCAGGAGAGAGATGCAATATCTTCTCTTTGGTTGTTGCCAATTTTACCCCAACTGGCTATGGACACTGTGTTCCATCGCCATGACTCTCAGTTTTAGACGGGATGCCCACTGGCTCCCAGAGTATC